TGTGACAACACAAGGGATGCGCCTGCGTCTCCCTCTCCCCTCTCCCCGGGTAACCAACCGAAGGGCCTGGTTTTTCCGGGCGCACAGCCTCGATGGGCCACCTCGGCAAACGGGGAGGGTTTGGTTCCTGCCCAGGGCCCGAGGAGCCCCAGGCCGTGTGAGTGATGAGCTCGGAACCACAGGCTTCCAGCTGCCTCTGGGCAGAACCCTTTCAGGTCTGCAAGCACCTCGGGCTCCGTTTGTCCCAAACAGACCTTGCTTCTGTCCCCTCGTCTGCACGCAGCAACAGGACTCCCAGCCTCCACTGCTCCCCTGTCCCCGAATCCATTCCCTGGCCAATGGGAACAGGGGTCTCAGGTGCTCAAGACCATCACCAGTTCTTTCCCACATCGTGAAGTGTAGGAGGCCCTGCAAACCCGGCCCTGCTCTAACACAGTCCTCAGGAGCCTGGACTCTGGACTCCAGGACACCTCAACTTGAATCTTGCCGTTGGTCCAAGACTCAAACTCAGGTGCACCTGAGCTGGAGACCTTGAGCCATTTTCTTAGCCTCAGGAAGCCTCAGACCCGTTGAAAGTAACATTGTGATTTAATGCTACTTACTACAGAGGGCTTTGCACCCACGCCAGGGCTCAGACCGAGCAGGAAACGGTTTGAGGCCGGTGCCTGGAATGCAGAGTAAGGGTAATTGGGGAGGGAAGGGAGGGGAAGGGGTGCAGAGGGAGGGAAGGCTGTCAGGACTAGGGGAGAGGATGAGACCATCTTCGGGCATGCTGAGCTCAGGGGCCTATGGGTATGCAAGGAAGGCCTCTGGGGGCAGCTGGGCTTCGGGCCTGGAGTCAAGAGTGAGGAGGCCTTGGCTGGAGAGGCGTGTGGGAGTCACCAGCATGTGAGTGGGAAGATGAGCTCATACTGAGGGAGGGGTCCCCACGGCCAGAGGTTCACCCAAAGAAAGAGAAGCTCCAGAAGGGGAGTCAGAGAGATGAGGGCGGGGTGGGGGGGGCGCCCAAGGGAGAAAGGGGCTGGGGCATGAGGACTTGCCACGGGGCAGAGGCTTCAAGGAAGCCAAGTTAAACTGAAAGCAGAGACGTGTCGAGGGTGTTTGGGGACTAAAATGGCACTCACCGGTGACCTTTGGTGAGGTCAGGCGGGGAAGCTGACTCGGAGCTAGGCTTGGGGAGGAGAGAACGGGATGGGGATTGCAGGCAGTTTTAGAGAAACGTGGCTGAGAAGGGGGGAGGGGTGTGTGTGAGGACCATGCTTGAGGAAAGGGATAGAGGACTGAGGTGAAAGAAGTTTTTTTTTAAAAAAAAAATTCTCACCTGAGGATATTTTTCCATTGATTTTTAGAGAGTTCAGAAGGAAGGGGGCGGGGGAAGGAGGGGTGAGAGAGAGAGAGAAACATTGATGAGAGAGAGACACGATTGTTGCTTCCCACATGCACCCTGACCTGGACAAGGGATCTAGCCTGCAACCTAGGTACATGCCCTTGACCAGGAATCGAACCTGTCTAACCATCTAGCCAAACTGGCCAGGATGAAAGAAATGCTTTACTGTAGTTGGTTACCAGTGGGAGAGGCCAGAGCCCTAATGTGCCTGCTGCTGGGCAGGGGCGAGCGGTTAGTGCTTATACCCATGGTGCCGGCACAGGGCCTGGCACACAGTAGGGACTCAGTAAAAGATGCTGCCCTTGAGGATGAGGCTCAGAACCAGGTGGAGAGCCTGGCCAGTGGGGCCCTTCTGCATTATGCCAGGAGGGGAGGGTGATGGGGTGCCAGGGGTGAGCAGAGTGCAGGGCACGGCCTTCCCGGGGCTCTGCTGCCTCCTCCAAGCTGGCCCGAGGGAGTGTTTAACTCCAGGAGCCCTGCTGTGTAAGCAGCAGACAGAGCCTGAGCTCTGAAGACTGCCACCCGGCACCCCACACCCGGCACTTTGGTTCCCCATCCTCAGATCCAGCTGTCACCTTCCCTCTATCCCCGTCAGGGCCATGCCCTCCCCCAAGGCCAGCAGATGGTGCCAGTGAGCTGCTGGATTCAGCTGGAGCCAACTGGAGCCAGCCCGGGCTCCCCATCCACTCTGTGGCCCTCCAGAGCCGGGGGGGCACACTAGGGGGGCACACTAAGCGTTCGGCTCACGGGGTTTCTGACCGAGGGGAGGCGGGGGGGGGGGAGGAGGGGGGAAAGGGCAGGACTAGGAACGAAGGGGGGCTGAGGGCTGCCGGCTGAGGGGTGGAGTGGCTCAGGGGCCTTCCGGGCCCTTCATTCCTCTGTCCCTGCCAGGCGCTGCCTTATCTGCTGGGGCTCCTGCCCCCTTCCCTTCTCTTCCCTGGAGGCCCCTGCCAACCCAGACTCCTGGCTCTGGCAGAGGCTGGTTCTCTGCCCTTGGGCAGGCACAACCTGGCACCGGTCCTCAGACAGGGCTGGGCCAGCCACTCCCAGCCATGACTGCCCAGAACACCTTCATTCTGCTCCTAGAACATCTCCACCTGATGAGGGGTGAGGGGTCAGCTTACCCCGAGGAGGTCCCAGGGGGCTGAAGCATAAATCCTGGGAAGGAGGCATGGCTCCTGGCTTAGGAAGTGGGAGGAAGTAGGTCAAAGGGGCACATATACATGGAACACATGTGGCGGATAGTCTAGTCCCACAAGATTAATAGTTCGAAGGAGGCAGTGTTCCAGAAGCTGAGCCAGAAACACCCCCTCCCCGTCCTCGCCTGGCCAGTTTCTACTTTACAATGACACAACCCCCCCCCCCCCTCCCAGCAGGTCCCTCCCAGCTTCCAGGCTTCCCAGCGAGTCAGGATCTTCCCCGGTTCCTTCCCAGGACGGCAGCATAGGGTCCCGTTTCTTAGTCTCTGTTCATCTTGCTTTCCCACTTCCACCTCCCCACCCGTCACCTCCTGCGCTTGGCAAATGCTGGTGCTACTTATGATGTGGCCTCGACCTGGAAGGTTGCCTGGGGTCCACCTCAGCCTCTCCTCCGTTCCCTCTCTCCAGCCCTAAAGGGAAGCCTTGACTGGACTGACGCTGAAGAAATGCAGCAGGCTCAGTAGGGTGACTAGAACTGGGATGTGCACGTGTGTGTGTGTGTGTGTGTGTGTGTGTGTGTGTGTGTGGGAGGGGGTGTGTCCCACCAATCCAGGTGTACAGCTCAGATCAGGGAGCCAGGCCAAGGGTGCTGTGCCTACCTCTGGGTCTGGGCCATAGATTCAGGGTAACAAGTCAGCAGGTTTTGGGTGGGGGAGAGGGGTGCGGAGGGGTATGGGGAAGGGGTAGGAATGTTTCCCTGAGTTTCCAAAAGGATGATCCAGACCAAGGAAGGGTTACTGGAAACACACACAGTATATACAAATGTTCTCACAGACACAGAGTCAGGGCACAGGGAGAGACAGTCCATATGTGCACAGACAAGCCACGGAGCCCATGAACTTGAGTGTATGTAAATCCAGGCACACCAGAAGGTCATGTCCCCAAGGTCAGGCACCACACCCTCTCCAAGCAAGTCCTGCCGTAGGGGCCAGGGCTGCTCTGCCATCTGCACTTAAGAGGAGACACAGGTGGGGGCCCGGGACTGCTCTGGGCAGGAAACATCCTCTGTCCAAAGCCTGCCCTGCTGCCTTAGGTGGCTCTGGCTCCCAGCCCCTCACCGGGATTCCCCCGGCCCACCAGGGCTCATGCCTGGGTGGCAGGAAAGGCTTTGGAGGAGGCATACCCTGAACACCTAAAATGTAGACTGGGCAATGGGGGTCCACGACCTTCCAGGACCCGGTGTGGGCATGGAGGAGACACCGGGCAAGCCCAGAAGCCCACAGGAGGCAGGGAGCCCCTCTGCCATGGGCTGCACCTACTGCTTCAGCCGAGGGCCTGGCAGCCAGGTACTGGCACCAGCTCCTCATGCCTGGCAGAGCCCTGGCATGGATGCCAAACACAAGGTGCCAGACCCGGGGGTGGGCAGGGTGGGGGGCCGCCAGGCCACACACAAACACAAACCTGCACCCGCACAGGAAGGGAAATGCACCCACATTCACACCACATATCTTATCCCCAGGGGAACCATGGGATCAGCAGGCATCACCCCATTCTGGCTGCCCTCCCTGACTCCCCACGTGTTCCCATTGGCCTGGGGTAGGAGGGTGGGCTGGAGGTGACGGGAGGCTGTGACTCCCCCTCTCCTCCCCCGCCCTGGCCCACCAGCACCCCCTCCCGTGGAGACAGACGTGTGTGGCAGGGGGAGGGGGAGATGGTGCATCCCCAGGGCTGGGAGGGGGAGGCAGGGCAAGGGCTCCCGAGAACCGGGCAGTTATCCCGCTTTTCCCAGCTCCCGCCCCAAGCCGGCTGTGTGGCCGCGAGCAGCTTAGGAGCGAGTGCGCGTCAGGGCGTGTGGATGGCCCGGGGCGCGGCGGGGAGTGCGGCGTGTGCCGCCGGCGGGGGCGGAGGCAGCGGCGGGCGGGCTCCCCGTGGTGCTGCGGCCCCGGCGGCGCGCTGTCCGGGTCGGGCGCCTGGGCGGGAGGCTGTGCGTGTCCTCAGGCCCCAAGCAAGTGTGCGCCGGCCGAGCTCACCCGGGAGCCGCGGCTCCGGGCCGGGCAGCGCGCGTGGGGCGCGGGCGAGAGCGGCTGCGGACCCCGGGGCTGGCGGGGCGGCCGCCCCGGGACCCGGCCCGCGGCGAGGCGTCTCTTTCTCCGGCGGCAACTTCGGGACTTTGCTCCGGCTTCTTCGAAAGCAGCCCTGGCCGCGGGGGCGGGGGCACCTGCCCGGCGCGGGGCGCCAGGAGGATGGGGAGGCCCCGCCCCCGCCCCGCCCTCTCCCCGCCCCCGGGGCCCTTTATATGCTCGGCCCGAGGGCGAACCGAGAAGGCGCGTATTCCTCCCGTCCGTCCGCGCTCGGTTTTCTGCTGCACCCGCACCCCTAGCCCGGGCCCCGAGTTCCTACCACCCTCGACCCCCTCTCCCCCCCCCATCCCCGCCTCAGCCGCCGCTCCGGCCCGCCCAGCCCGGCCCGCAGCGATGGAGCGCTGGCCTTGGCCGTCGGGCGGCGCCTGGCTGCTCGTGGCCGCCCGGGCGCTGCTGCAGCTGCTGCGCGCGGACCTGCGCCTGGGCCGCCCGCTGCTGGCGGCGCTGGCGCTGTTGGCCGCGCTCGACTGGCTGTGCCAGCGCCTGCTGCCCCCGCCGGCTGCCCTCGCCGTGCTGGCCGCGGCCGGCTGGATCGCATTGTCCTGCCTGGCGCGCCCGCCACGCCTGCCCGTGGCCACTCGCGCGGTGCTCATCACCGGTGAGTGCGCGGGGCGCGGGGATCCCAGGCTCTAGGGCGGGACCGGACACCCAGGGGGCTCCCGTGGGCACGCCAAGGCGAGGAGGGCACCCAGCGCAGGAGCAGGAGAGTGAGTCCCCTTCCTCCCCCGGGTGCAGGGAGCGAACCGAGTGGGAAGCAAAGCGCCTCCTGAAGTGTTGGCTCACTACCTGCAGCTGCGGGTGTGTTGGAGCGAGAACGAGGCAGGGAGTGGGCAGGTGCGCTGGGGAAACTGATGGCTAAGAAAAAGAGTCTCCTGGAGTTTGGGGTTTGTGCTTTGCCCCTCCCCAAGAGAGCAGCCTCTGAGGGGCTTACGTGGACGGTCCTTCCTTGAGCTCTGCCTACCATCCCCACGTGGGATGCCGCATATCTCTTCCCTGAGGCCAGAGAGAGGCTCTCACGTGGGACCCTCACCCCCTGACTGGGCTGGTGCCCTTGGAATCCAGAAAAGCTTGGGGGTCATCATGAGAAACAGCTGGGCATTCAGGCGCCTCTCAGGTCCAGCTGGCCACCCTCAAACTCCTGCAAGTCTTTCATCTGCACCCCAACCCTCATTCCTCCTGGTCCTTTTAGGGAGTTGGGCTCAGGTGCCTTTTGCTGCCTGGCTGAGCTCCCTTTGTCTGGAGCTGGGAATAAATCTGTCACCAGATCGAGGGAAGGGAGAGGGGGGCTGAGGCCCAGCGGCAAGTGAGGAGGGGGAGAAAGGCCAGGTGGCACTGGCTCCATGGTGTGGGGAGGAGGGCAGCTTAGTCTCTCCCCCACTCCCATGGCTTCGGACAGGGGCTCAGGGCTCTGCCTCTGCTTTGGACGTGGGTTGGGGGCAGCCACCAGACTGGCTTCTCAGAGACCTCAGTCCAGTAGGGGGCCCTGCACGACCAGATGGAGCTTGGAGAACTTCTCAGAGGAGGCCATCCTTGAGCGGGGCCTCCGAGGATGGGTGGAGATAGGCGGAGTAAGGAGGTGCTTTGTAGGAGACAAAGGGTGTGGGACAAAGGCTTACGGCAGGAATGAGCATGGTCTGGACAGGGGACAATCCATCATCAGCTTGGCTGCTGGGATGTGGGCTTGTTTCCTCAGGTGGGGCCTTGAATGCTCTGTGCTGAGATGGGGTGAGGGTGCACGAGGACTTGGGGCTTCAAGCAAAGAGAGTGGGGAGACAGAGCAGGGCTGGGGCCGGATGGGGGAGACCTGAGTTTAGGGTGCAGTGTAAAGACTTAGGGGATCCTACTTGGAGTTGTTTGGAAAAGCAGACAGACCCTCCTAGTGTGAAGTAGGGACCGGACTGTGATCTGCCCCCAGAGGCGGGCCAGCTCCCCTCCCGCCTTCTAACCTCTGCGCTGTCTCAACAGAACACAGCCTGTCTGCAAGTACTGGGTCTTTCCTGAGGTCTCACCTCAGGCTTTGCTTACTTCTGGCCTTGAGTCTGAGAGGCATGTGTGAGGAGGAATGCCTTCTGTGACTGGGGACCCCCCATCTCTAGTTGCAGAGCCCCACAACGGGGGAGTTGGGGAGGACTGCGCATCTCTCCCATTTAAGAGTCAGATATAAGCCTCCAGGTTTCCCAGTGCCCCCAAAACTCTGGAGGTCCTTCCTCTCCTTACTGTGAGATCAGTAGGGGGCCAGGTCCTGCCCCACCTGCCAGAGCTGCCACCTACTCCCCCCCCGACACCCCCCCCCCCCCGAGAACCACTAGCCAAGGCTACTGAGCAGCTCAGCCCTGCGGGCAGGGTTTGGGCTGAGGGGCTGGGTACCTGGAGTGCACGTCTGTGGCCAGATGTGTGGCAGGGGTCTCCTGGGAGTGAGCCAATGTGTTGCTTACAGCTCACTGCAGGCAGGTTGAAGGTTGAAGGTATGTACAGGAATGTGGGTGCAGGTGAGTAAGACGGGGTGCAAGGTGTCATTAACTGTGCTGGGAGGCCCCGTTTTCTTGGGAAGGACCTGTCTGCTCTGGGGTGGGGTTGGGGTGGGGGTGTTGCCTGCCCCAGCTAGACTTGCCCAGGAAGGACCCCTCCTCCCACCCTGTCCCCAGCCTGGACTGGCTGGCAGGCCCCCAGCCACACAAAGCCCAGCTCAAAGCCCCCTGCCCAGCTGTGCCGTCTGCCTCGTGGCAGGGAGCGGGTGCAGAGCCGTCCTGAAACAGGAAAGCAGAACAGCTTTGCAGCTTCTGCTCAGGGGGGAGGCCAGCGAGGAACCTGAATGGGGATGGGAACAATCAAGGAAGCAGGGGCTTATCGGACCGTTTCTCTCTGCATACCAAAGGCAGGAGTTATGTCTCCGAGAGTGGTAACTGACCTCAGGTCACACGGTGGGCTTGGGAAGGGATTAGGATGCAGGTCTGTTCTCTCATCCATCACTGTCCCTGTCCTGGGGGCAAGTGGTCTGGAGCTCAGAGAATGCCTCTCTGTTGCCACTGGTTGAAATTCCAAAGGTGGGGGACTGGGGAAGATGGGGATGGGCCTCCCTCTGGCCTGGAACAACAGTGAGGGGTGTTGAGGTTGGGGAGGCAGGTTGGGCAGAGCCTGGAAGATGGGGGCCGCGGGCTTGGGCTCCATCCCGCTCACTGTGGGAGCCTTGGGAAGGTTTTTGCAGCCGAGTTCTATTGTCATTTTTGGAAAGATCTTTCTGGCTGCTTAGGGATTAAGATGGGATAGGACTAAAGAAGGGGCTGCTTCAGCGTCCAGGTGGGAGGAAGGAGCCTGGGCAAGGGCAGCCAGAACGAAAGGGAGGCTGTGCAGTAACATTGACCATTTGAGCAGAAACTTGGTATCAAGCAGGCAGGACACGAGGGCTGGGACTGGGTCTCAGGCTGACCTGGAATAAAGTCCTTCACTCTTACTGAGTGACTTTGGGAAGCAACTTAGCAATACTAGGCCTCAGTTTCCTCATCTGTAAAGTGGGACTCATAAGCCATGATGGATGGGGTTGCTATGGGGAGTCAGGGAGATGACAGCTAGGAAAGAGCTGATGCACAAAGGGCCCGAGAGGAGGGAGGGCTGCTGGTAGGTTGGGTGTTGGGCCTGGGTCCCATCTGGTCCCTGGTGATCCTGGGGCTGTCTCAGGCTGGAGCAGCCACAGTGGGAGTTCACTGGCTGCCCCGCCCTGCCCTGGCCAGGCTGTGACTCTGGTTTTGGCATGGAGGCGGCCAAGAAGCTAGATGCCATGGGCTTCAAGGTGCTGGCCACCGTGTTGGACTTGGAAAGCCCCGGCGCCCTGGAGCTGCGTGCCTGCTGTTCCCCTCACCTAAGGCTGCTGCAGATGGACCTGACCAAGCCAGGTGACATCAGCCGCGCCCTGGAGTTCACCAAGGCCCATACCACCAGCACAGGTCAGCGGGCACAGCTCCCGGAGAAGGGTGGCAGGGTGGACATGAAGGGGCGGGGATTGTAGGTTTGCTGCTGGGCTGACCCCCCATTTCCCCCCCTGCTCCATACCCTCAGGCTTGTGGGGCCTGGTCAACAACGCAGGCCTCAACGACATAGTGGCCGACGCGGAGCTGTCCCCGTTGGCCACGTTCCGCAGGTGCATGGAGGTGAACTTCTTCGGCACCCTGCAGCTCACCAAGGGCCTCTTGCCACTTCTGCGCCGCTCCAGGGGTCGTATTGTGACCGTGGGCAGCCCGGCAGGTGAGTGCATTCCCACGTAGCAGCAAAAAAAAAAAGGAGCCCCTCCATGGGGAGGGATGTGGGAGCCACCAGCCCAGGCTGAGCTGCCCACCCCCAACCCATCCCCCCCAACCCATCCCCAGGAGACATGCCCTATCCATGCCTGGGGGCCTATGGGACCTCCAAAGCAGCCGTGGTGCTGCTCATGGACACGTTCAACTGCGAACTGCTGCCCTGGGGGGTCAAGGTCAGCGTCATCCAGCCTGGCTGCTTCAAGACAGGTGAGGGTCAAGGTTGGGGGGCAGGTCACAGTCTGGGGCTGGAAAAGCGGGGTGACTGTGGGGGCGGGGATTGGAATGAGCGTGGCTTTGGCCGGAAGTGGGCTGCTGATGAGTTGGCTGACCCCTCGCTTACCACCTCTTCTCCAGAGTCGGTGAAAAACGTGAGCAACTGGGAGCGGCGCAAACGGCTGCTGCTGAGCAGCCTGTCCCAAGAGCTGCTGCAGGCCTACGGCGAGGACTACATCGAGCATGCACACGGGCAGTTCCTGAATTCGCTGAGCCTGGCACTGCCCGACCTCAACCCGGTGGTAGATGCCATCATTGATGCCCTGCTGGCAGCTCAGCCGCAAAGCCGCTACTACCCGGGCCGCGGCGTGGGGCTCATGTACTTCATCCACCACTACCTGCCCGAGGACCTGCGGCGCCGCTTCCTGCAGACCTTCTTCATCCGCCCCTGCCTGCCAAGCGCGCTGCGGCCTGGCCAGCCTGACCCTGCCCCCACCGAGGATGCCGCCCAGGTCCCAAGCCCAAACCCAAACCCAAACCCAAACCCAGGCCCGTCCCCCACAGCGGCCAATGAGCAGTGTGCATCTCTGGTCTCGGCAAGTCCAGCAGAGGATGGTCCCATGAGTCCTGGGGCCTCCCTTGGGCTTTGTGACCCGAGTCTGTCCTAGAGCCTGGCCCCACCCACTGCTGATACCCCAGGTCAGGCCTGGTGAGGCTAAGGCTTCCCAGTGAACCTCTGGTCCCCTCCACTGCTTCATGAGCCCAAGCGGGGGGCACACGGCTCCCCCTGCAGCTGGGAGAACCCAGCTGGATGGGAAGTTCAGTGCGAGACGTAGCTGTAGCCTTGGACAGGTTCCCGTAGTCAGTGCCTCTGCAAGCCAAGTGACAGGGTAGGCCGGGGCCCCCTCAGGTTCTTTCTCAGCACTAGCGCCTCAGTGCTGCGATTCAAAGGGTAAATCCCAACTCTTTCTTGACTGGCTCAAGAATTAGGGCCCTGACCACCCACCCCAAGCCCCCAAGCACAGGGAGGCTGCACATCCCACTTGCCTGGTTGCCGTTTTTAAATAAATGTCTATTTCTCCTAGAATGGGGGAGGCCGTGTGTGTGGAGGGATGACAGGCTGTGTGACACATTGAGAACTGCCTGGGGCTCAGCATGGGGGACGAGGCTCTGGGTACAGACTCTGGTTCTCTTCACTGACCTTGACAGATCCTTTATCCATTGGTTTGAGTTTCCTCCTCTGAAATGGGGGTGATAACCTTGACCTGGGGAATGGGGGAGCTCCATGAAGCCAATAGGGAAGCCTGGAGGCCCTCCAGGGCCAGGACCCAGGCCTCCGACAGAGGATGGAGCTCTCCCCCAGGGGCGCCCCCGCCCTGAGGAACTGAGCTGCTCCATGGAGGGCCAGCCTGGGGCTGCCTCTGCCAGTGACTGCGGGAGGCAGAAGGCTAGGCAGGCAGGGTGGGCTCAGGAATGTGAACCCAAGAGGAGCTGGGAGCCCCAAAGGAGACAGTGGACACGGCTTAGGGCAGTTTATTGTTCAGAGGGGCGGGGCTGAGGGAGAGGGATGCACAGCTGCTTCCCCCACACCCCAAGGACACACACACATACACAGTCTCCCCTGGGCCATGGTTCTGGGGTGACCACAGAGGGGTGAGGAGGCTCCCGCTGCTACTAGGGGTTCTCATTCTGGAGGGGCACGAAAGTGGCCACATGCTGCTTAGACACGTGGGTGGCTGTAAACAGGGCTTGATCTGGAGGGGAACTTGGTCTATCCTTGGTCAGGGGGGCAGGTACCCAGGCCCGAGAGCAGTCTCAGGAGATGAGGGGAGCTGGGCAGCCGCTAGGACAAGATGCTGTACCCCCAGGGCCGGCAGGCGAGCCGCGGCCTTGGTCACATCACACACCCACACACACACCCCCGGGGAGCCCTGGGCCAGGGCGTTAGAAGATGGGGATGTAGTTGTCGATCTTGGCGCGGTGGCGCTGGGCAATGCATTCGGCGATCCACACGATGTTGCGACACTCCTGCTCCTTGAGCTTCACGAAGGCGTAGAAGACGCCGAAGTGGAACTGGTTGAGGAAGGCCAGCTTGTTCAGCTTCACCTGCGGGCAGAGGCAGGTGGCCATGACCAGAGGCAGGCCCGAGCCGCCACGCCCTCCCTGTGACGGGCAGGCCTGGCACCCACCTCATGCTCGAAGAAGCGGTCCTCCAGGGTCTTGTCTCCAGGGTTGCTGCCTGCACCCTCAAAGAGCAGCTTGTACTCCTGGCCCAGGAGAGCGGTGGGAAGCGAGAGCATGAGGGCACGGTGGGGTGGGGTGGGGTGGGGTGGGGGGTGGGGGGATGCAAGTGTCCCTATGCCCGCCCCCTGGTCCCGCAGCCAGGGCGCTCACCGGGTAGTAGTCGGCCACGTTCTTAACCTGCTCGTAGTCATCAGCCCGAGCCAGCTGCGCTAGGCCCTCCGGGTAGAGCCGCCCACAGTGCGGAAAGAGCTTGGCACGGTCCTCCTTGGACAGCTCCGTGCCGAAGGAATTGATGGTGATAATGAAGGCGCGGCGGTCTGCTTCAAACTGTGGGGCCAGAGCAGAGGCGAGGACAGAGTGGGGAGGACGGCAGTAGCCAGTCAGTTGGCAGGGCTTCCCGGAGGCCTGTCTTTCCCAGGGGCCCGGCGGGAAGGAAGGAGGGAGGGCGGGCGCTTACCTCCAGGATGGGGCACATGGCATCGGCCGTGGTCCCGCCCAGCAGGGTGCAGAACTTGTAGAAGGACTCCAGGTAGGCCTGCACAGAGCATGGGGCGTGTTCAGCTCAAGCAGGGAGACCAGGGGGCGGGGGGCTTCCCAGGCCCCTTACTCATAGTTCGCGCTTCCCTCCCCAGTCCTGGGACTGTCCATGGCAGCCCTACATCAGAGCCCTGTAAGAGCCACAATTCCAACTGTTCACCAGCCAAGCAGCAACAGTCTGCTGCCTTGTCCCCGACCCAGGAGTGACAGCAATTTCTGGCCAACTGTCTGCTTCACGGGGCAGCGCCCCGCACGCCCTCATCCCACAGAAGGCCAGGCTAGGAGGGAGACTGTCTTTCTCTACTATTCTGTCTGCCTTTCTCCCGGATCTTCTCTCCTCAGTCCCAGAAAACCACCTGCAGATGGGCTAGTGAGGAAAGGTTACTCTGAGGGTTCACGGAGATGGCCTGGCCTGGGCACCCGGGCCCTTCCTGGCCTCCACCTTACAGAACACCTCCCCCTCCTCCCACCCCCTGGGCATCACCCAGTAGGAACCAAACTGTCAACCTCATTCCTGCTGAGAGATGATTATTGCCCCCTTGGATGTCAGCCCTGCAGAGCAATGGCCATGGCTGGGCACACTGACCTGCAGCTGCCTGCTGGGGGGAGGGAGGGGAGACAAGCACTTCCTGCCAAGGCAAACTGGATCTGCTGGGCCCCAGGCTGCCCAGCACTCACTCTTAAAGCAGCCACACAGGCTTCCTTCCCCACACCACCTAGGTCAGGAAAGGGGATGGTTTTGCAGCCTCCCTGGAGAGCCCCCTGCACTCCGGTCCTCCTGAGCCTGATCAGGCGGCCAGTCACACGGACGCTGGCTTCACAGGCTAGAGACTACTCTGGGGATGAGGGCTGGGAGCGCGGGAAGCTCCCCATGCCAAGGGCTGCCCTCCAAGGTGCAGAGACCTTTGCACCCACCACCAGCTGGCTTGGGTCACCAGCTGTGCTGCCCCAGGAGCAGGTGAGAGGAGGCCTGGGAGTCAGTAACCCAGCCCAACCTGGCCAGCAGCAATGGGCAAGCTGGGCTCAGAGAAAGGCCACTGCGCCACAGAAAAACAAAGGTCTGGGACAGGGCAGGGAGGAGCAACTGGAGGGGGGAAGGGGCCATAGCACAGCGGATCCCCAGAAACAGCTGCCCATCCTACTATGGCATGGGGGACCTTTCAGTCCTTCTAGCACTGTCTCCAGCTCCTTCCTTCTCTGTGACCAGCCACACTGGCTGCACCCAAACCCCCAGGCCTGCTCCATCCAGTGGGGTCTTCAGTTCTTCACCGTGGGGGATGCTAATGCAGATAGGCTGACCCCAAGGTGAAGGAGGCTGGTGGACACACCCAGACTCTCTTCTGGAGGCCAGGGCAGCTGAAGAAACTGGCAGGACCCCAAAGGCCCAGGTACCAAGGTCATATTCCCACCCCCACCCTGTGCCCTGTGGAGGAGTCTCCTAAGTCCATGGCTGTGCCAGCTATTATAACTACAGTTCCCACCCGGTAGGCGGCTGAGGGTCCGCCTAATCTCCCATCTGTGGCCACTGGGCTGGGACATTGCCTGCTGGGCGGGCGGTCCTGGCACGGTGCCTGCAGCATTGGATCAATGTTTACAAGCTGGTGCCCAGGCAGCCCTCACCAGTGACTCCAGATAGAACCAGTCAGGCCCGGTGAGGGTGTGGGGAAGGCTGGGGGGACAGCCGCACCCCTCACCCTGTGTCAGGACAGGGATCCCGGCAACAGGCCAGCTGGGCGCGCAGGAGTACACACACTCTCTCTCTACTAATTGCTACCCTGCCTCCCTACTAGCGGGTGGATGAGACAGCTTGCTTTGCAATCGGGCTGATCCAGGTGTGATCCCCAATGCTCTCAGTGTCTAGCAAGTGGCTTCAGGCAATCCATTCTACCTCTGAGCCCTCAGCTGCCTCATCTTACAGATGAAAACACCGATAAGACAGTCCTGAGGATGAAAGAAGTTGAGTCTGCCTCCCTCTGGTACTGTCCCCTCTACCCTGCCCTCCACATTGCAACCAGAGGGGTTTTCTGATGATGCTGTGACCTGCGGGAAACCTTTATTGCTGGCCCTGCACACAGGATCAAGTTCAAACTTCTGACCAGACATTCCCGGCCCCTGTGCCTGCTTCCACTTCCAGACCCATCTGCCGCTGTCCATCTGGGACCGGTACTGCTACAGACCGCTTGCCACTGGCCATGCTCCATGCTTGTCTGCATGTGCTGTTCCCCTGCCACCCCACTGCACCCCAGGTAGGTCCTTCACTCCCCCCAGACTCTCCCTCACTCTGGCCCGACCCCTGCAGGGCAACTAGAGGGCCTGAGCTTAGGATGCAGCCAGGAGTCAGCCACCTACCTCCAACCAGGGCAGGAGAGGCCCCTCGCTATCAAGAGCCAATAGACATGTTTTTAGGGTTAGGTCAGCAGGGCCCTTGGCCAGTGCTGACCCATGTTCTTGGCTGCAGCCCCTCAGAGGTCCTGGTACCACAATTACAGCCCAGTCTATCCCAAATGTCCCTCACTGGTCCCTGGCCAGCTCTGCCCTTCACCTCTTTAAGCCAGGACAATGCTGGTTTAGGAATTCCAAGCCCACGCTTCCTCCAGGGGTCACCAGCCCATGGCACAGCCTGGCGGGAAGCAGAAGGTAGGTGGGGGGTGAGGATGATGGGACGTGGCACTGGCTCTGGCCTGGGAACCTGACAGGGGGGCCTGGCTACACCTGGCTGGGTCCCTTTCTCACCGTAACTGAGCGCACGGTTGCTCTGCTCACGTGCCTGTACTTGCTGGCAACAGGCCAGATGGGAGAGCAGAGCACTAAGGCCTGGGTGGTAGCCCGTGACCCTGTGGGATCTGGGAGAGCAGTCACCCAGGAGCCAGCTCTGACAAGCCAAGCCGCGGAGCACCCGCCACGCCTGCCGATCTTATCTAGGCCGCCGTGGGCATCTGGGGATGGAGAACCTGTTCCATGCGGCCTTGTGCCCATCACGGGAGCCAGAAAGCGAGCGGATAAGCCCCCAGGGTGAGAGCCTGGCGCAGCTGCGCCCTGCCCCAGCACCCCACATAAATCACAGGCCGCCACGCCCACAGCCCATTGGCCTGCAAGCCAACCCCCCTCCACCCGCTATCTGGGGGGGGTTGGGGGAGGGGAGGCGGGGGCACTACCTTGTAGAGCGTGTTGCGGATGATCTCGATGTTCATCTCATCGAGGTCCTGCTCTGAGATGCAGTCCTGGAAGAAAGCCGCTGGGGAGGCAAGACGGGTGTGAGGGCTGGGTGTGTGCACTTAAGTAAGGATCCTGGGGCCCCTGCCACAAGGTCCATTTGGCGGGGTATTGGGGGCCCCCACCCTGGTTATTGCCTTGGAAGGGGCAGAAGCAATCCTCTGGACTATGTACACTGACCTGAGCCTTCTTGCTTCTAAAGCTGATTTATAAAGCAGGCCGCCAGCCATAACATGACCTAATCACTGCTGGGGCAGACCCAAGCTCGCCATGCCAAAGGAGCCTTGCATAAGAGACCACAACATCCTCTCTTCTGGGCCAGGGCCGGGGGGAGGAGGGGGACAACTGTGGATTTGGGGCCTGACGCCCACTTCTTTGCATCCCCCACATTTGGAAAACCAGCCTCCTCCTCCTTAGGACAAGGAACGAGTTCAACATCTGGGGGGGCACAGGCCTGACCAAGGGGCCCCTGTTGGGCTGGAAGTAGTGGCAGCGCAGGATACAGCCACCTCACCCGAAGGGGAATCTGTGGGCTCACTGCGCTGCCACTTCTTTAAAGATGAAGAAACTGAAAAGGCCACAAATAACTCCCAACTCCTGGGTGAGGGGGTTCTATGACAGGTGAGGCCAACACGTAGGGCGCAGGACCCTCTGTGCAGCCCCTCCGGGTGCTGGCACCACAATTACAGCCCAGGCTATCCCAGTGGTTCAGCCCTGGGAGCTTCCTGGAGGTGGTGCCAGGGGATGAGGACTCTGGCTCTGAGGACACTAGCTGGGGACAGCCTTAGTGCCTTCTACCCAGCCGGCCCGGCAGGCAGGACCAGCACCGCCTAGGCAGGGCCCTGCAGGAAGCTCTCAGTTCCCCTTTCGTGGCCTCGAACATGAACCTTGTATCCTGCTGGACACTGCCTGTCCTGGCCCCTGGGACCTGCTCAGTAGAGGCGAGTGAAGCTATTGGCTTCCCTTCCCTGCTCACGGGCAGCCGGCCACCCCCGCCCTGCTTGAGGTCAGTCTGAGAGTACTCCGACCCAGGCCTCTCAACCCTCTCTCTGAGCTCGGCCTCCTCTGCATTCTGAGAACTCGTCCAATTCCACGAAGTTAGGTGGTCTGAGTCGGGCCCTGGGTGCAGCCTGCCTGGCCAAGCAAAAGCAACAGCAAAGAAGGCCCGGTGAGGAGGAAGGAATGGGAAGGTAAGCCAGCGGGCAGGCCTCAATTCTGAGTGAGGGTCACCCCCAGGGGTCTGCAAACCGCACACTGAGGCACTGGCACTGATGCCTCCCCCCCCCCACCCCAGTGGCTCACCCAGGGGCGTGTCCACCAGGATGGCATTGTAGAGCTCGGCGGGTGTCTGTGCAATGTTCACGGCCTCCATCTGCTCAAAGCTGCCGAGCGGGTGGCATTTGGGCACCAGCTCGGCGATAGAGCGCTGGTGCAGCGTGCCCGTGATGAGCAGGATCACGTTGTCAATCATGTAGCTGTAACTACAGGAGACACGAGAGCAGGCAGAGGGTCAGGGGGCCACCACACCCCTGCCCACACCCTGCACAGGTGCCCAGCCCCTGGACAATGAATGCTGCCTCCTTTCCCTGCCCAAGCGTGCCCCTTACTCCAGTACTGGACACACAGGACAGGCGTGGCAGGATGGGATCCATGCCCCTCAAGTGATTGGGAAACGGGTGTGAACAGTGTCCTGGCAGGACAGGGGAACTGTGGGCACATGGAGGTGTGGCCACTGGCCAGCCCCGGGGGATGAAAGAGCTGGGAGATGAAAGAGTGTTCTGTGAAGAGGGAACAATGTGTGCGAAAACCTGGAGGCATTCACTGAGTGGCGGATGCATTCGAGGAACTGAGCACAGCCAGGGCTGGCGGAGGGGAGGGAACCGGGGCAGGGCTGCCAGCAGGCCGGGGCCTGGAGGCTGGTCCTGCCGGCTGGGCTGAGGGTCCCGCTTTCATTTCGAGCTCAGGGGCTCCACGAGCGGGACAGAAGCAGGGGTATCCAGTCCAGTTAGGGTCCTGCTGGCTGATGGGTGGGAACAGAGCGAGAGGGGAAGACTGTGGGGGAGGAAAGTGGGGAGAGCTTTAGGGGGGGCCGGAGAGGAGCCGGTGGGAAGGCCCCTCTGGAATAAGGACCCAGGTCAAGCAGCGACGAGCAGGCAGACAGCTGCCCGGTGCAGCCTGCTCCAAAGACAAAGCACCGCCTCCTCCTTCAGGGCCTGAGGCCAGGGCAGGCGCCTGTCCAGGATGCCTGGAGAAGGCCCAGAGGCCTGGACCGGAGGCTGGGCTCAGGTCAGTCCCAGGCAGCGGCCCCCGCTCCCCCCCCTTTCCCGGCTCTGGATACATGGGCACCAGAGGGGGCTGTGGAGCTGGAGAGGGTGGGGCTGCCCAGGTCACCATGCCAAGGCCAGTGGCAAGCTCTGCCTCCAACAGTGAAGAAAATACCTCAAAAGGGCTGCAGCTAGTTCTGCGCAGCCACCTCTGTGGGGATGAGGTGAAAGGCGGCCGGGGGGCGGCTACAGTCCGACTGCTGTAGCCACAACATCCCTCCAGCCTGGCACCAGCGAGGAATTCAAGGCACAAGGGAGCGGGGTGGCAGATATCCTGCAAGGCCGAAGGGGGGCTCCCATTGGAGGGCGAGGCTGGGGTGGAGGCAGCTGCCCTGAGCGTGTGTGTGGGCCACGGCCAGGCCCCTGTCCTGAGGTAGTAACTGCGCACCAGTGTCGATCCTATCCAAGGTGGCAGGCCCCAATACCAAGGTAAGGAGGCTGATGCCCCAGGCTTCAGCCCAGAGGGCTGGCCGTTGGGGGAACTCCCACAGGGCCCTCCAGGAAGGCGGCAGAAGGAAGAAGCCACAGCTCCTGTCCTGGCCTGACCCCCACTCTCCGCCTGCTTGCTGCTCCCCCAGCTCCCACCCGGCCCAGCGCCCTGCTACAACCTCTGCTCTCCTGGGCTTGGGGCCAGGCCACTGCCCTCTCTCCGCCCCGTCTGGCTGGGTCAACTGCAGGAAGTGTGCTGAGAAGAGACAGGCCCCCTTCCCAAACCAAGGGCTTCAGGCACGGCCCATCTGCAGCTACAAGCCAGCGGCCCCAATGCCAGCCTCCTGACCCTGGCCTGACAGCGGGCACAGTGGAAGCACCTCGGAGAGAGCTCTGTGCCTTGGTCTCTGGCCCCAGCCTGCACCTTCTCCACTCTGAACAGCACATCCCTCTCATCATCCCAACTGCCAAGCCTCAGTTTCCCTGAACAGCCTCCCCTCATGCTTCCAGAATCTCACGTGCCCCGGAACCATGCTACACGCCACACCGCCCCCGTGACACTCCCGCCTGCACCTCACCCAGCCCCATTCTAGCCACCATGTTCCCCGAACCTCATGTTGCTCTTTACGCTGCCAAAGCACTCTGGGCAGGGAGGGAGAAACGAGTACAATGACCCCACAACCACCTGCATCTTCAGCTGTCAGAGGAAATAAGCACAGAGAATGCAGGCACCAGGCCCCATCATTGCATAAGGCAGAGGTACTCTCTGTCCCCATGGCCGATGTCCACACACCTCCACCCATGTCCAGGGCTCCCATGCCCTAGGGCAGTGGTTGGCAAACTGCGGCTCACGAGCCGCAGGTGGCTCTTTGGCCCCTTGAGTGTGGCTCTTCCACAAAAATACCACATGCGGGCGCGCACGGACAGTGCAATGGAAACTTCGTGGCCCATGCGCAGAAGTCGGTTTTCGGCTCTCAAAGGAAATTTCAATCGGTGTCCTGTTGGTATTTGGCTCTGTTGACTAATGAGTTTGCCAACCACTGGCCTGGGGTTCTCCGTTCCCCATCAAGCTTTATCTTCTCAGAGAGACCCACATAAGTCAGCCTTTATTTTCTAAACCTCCCCACTCCGTGTGCCCCATTGGAGGCCATTAGTTTATGTTGGGAGTGAGGCTGGGGTCAGGCCCCTCCCCCACCAGAAGAACCCTGTGGGAAGGCTCTGCCATTTGGCTTTGCTGCTATCCCTCCAGTGATGGGGAACAGGCCAGTTATGACTCACTTTTCAGCCTTGACAGCAGATGTGGGGGCTGGAGGCAGTATCCCCTGGCTGCCCCCAGCCTCTCCTGCTAGAGGATCTAGCTGGGCACCAAGGAAAACGCTGAGCCAAGTGAGGGTCACTTGCAATCACACCCCAGCCCCTTCCAAGGCCTTCTTCCAACCCAGGCCAGGCAGTGTGATGACACCGTGCCAGTCCACCCTTCCTCCCCTTGGGCCAACCACAGGTTAGTGTAGCGGCAGCCCCCGATGTTCCCCCCTGCCCAATGGCAGCCACAATCTCCTTTCCTGGGAAAAGGGAGATGACACTGGCTCAGCCGTTTCTCTCCCAAGGTCTTGAGCGGCCAGGGAACTCCTCCTCCTCCTCCTCCTCCTCCTCCTCCTCCTCCTCGCCTGGCTTCGGCAGTTGCCTCCCAGTCCCCAGAAAGCAGCTCCACCAGTCCTCCCTTCGCTTGGCCTCAATAGAGAGAATGAGGTTCCAGCTGGTCAGCGTCTCCCTCCAGAGGAAGACAGCTGGGGAATGGACAGACGGCTGCCCGCCAGGCCAGAGAGGCCCTCGTGGGATGGGAGAGGGGCAGTCTGTAATCCTTTGCCCAAGGGCCGTCCCTCACCCTGCATCCCGAAGATTTGTAGATCCATCACAGGCCCACAGGAAGCTGGAGTTGGAGAATAGGAAGACACTTCCTCCAAGATGTTCTCAAGAGTCCCCGGGGAAGCCCTGTCCCTCTGCTGGGCCCTTTGGCGCCACCTGCTGGAGCCCCACGGCTGGAACCCCATGGCTTACTTCCCGTTCTTACCACCCAGCCTGGCCCTGGTGAGAAGGCCATGATGACTAGATACCCCTGCCGGTCCATCCAACCAAATCTCTCATCATACCAACTGCCAAGCCTCAGTTTCCCTCCTGCAATCAGAATGACTGAGGTGTGGCCTACAGCAGAACTAGAGAGGCCCTGACCTTCTCGTTAAAATCGTGCCCCGACCCCAGAGGCGCAGTGGGGTCCTCCCCCTTGACCTGAGCCTAATGGGCCTTGAAGGGCTCCTGTGTGCTCTTCCCTGGGCTCAGGAGACAGTGTAGGTACCAGCTTTCCCTCAAGGCAGGAACGAGGTCTAACCCAGAACCCAGAAACCAGAAACCCCAGCAGATCTAGATCCAGAACCCGTGGAGGTTGTGCCATCAACCCAGAAACACTGGATGTGGCAGCAAAGGCTGGACGGCCAGGACAGGGAGGAAGCCCATCTGGAAACCTGAAGCAGCAGGACACACGGCTGGAATAACGTGTCCTGGGAGAATGGCCAGTGTGCTCACAGGCCCACTGGGCACCTGAGGCCATTGTCCTGGGACAAAGCTTCCTTCCAGCTGTCCACTCCAGGCTGGTAACACTGAGGCTCCTGGTCCAACAGAAAGATGGTTGCCATGCCAATGGGTACCTGCCTCAACCCCTTTCAACAACACCCACTCCTCATTCCCGGGTTGAGCCAGAGCAGAGGAGGTGGAGTGGAGAAGAGCAGCCAGGGAGGTAGGGGTTAAATCTGAGAGACTCCCTGAGGGAAAGGAGACTCCAGGAGCAGGCGGGGCCAGCGAGGGAGGCCTCGGGAGAGCTGAGAGAGCCTCCGGTGGCCAGAGCAGAGGCAGTGGCCTGGTGTGGGGCAGACAGACCCTAAGTGAGAGTTTCCTTTGGAGCAGGCTGTCATCAGCCATATGGTCTTGGGATGATTCAGCTCCGTCTCCTGCAGTAACATGTACTAGTACCAAGGGTTGCTTCCAGGCCCAGCTATTAACTTGCTGTGAGACTTGGGATAGAGTCTCTGACCCCATCTGATCCTGGAGCCCTCTCAATGTGGAGAAGCCTCCTGTGACCTCTAGTTCTATTTGTGGCAGCTGCTCACAGGCCTCTCCAGGAGCTATCTACACCACCACTGGCACCCACCCCACTGCATCCATGCTCCCCCCTGCCTCCTGGCACCGCGCCTGGCCCCAGAGCTGGTACTGGTCATCTGTGGAGGCTGAAGGCTGGGTGGGACACTGTCTCTCACCAGGGAAGGGCAGGGGAAGCTTCTACTTGCACATCTGCAGTGACAAGGAACTCACTGCCTCCTGGAGAGCCTACTCCTGTCTCCCTGAGGCAGCGCCGAAGGCAACGAAGAGATTCTGAGGGATGGAGATAAGTGACCTCTGAGCGAGGCTCCGAGTTAGGCCTGGAGACCTTGGCCACATGAAAGGCAGTGGTGACTTTAGCCAGGGCCTGTGGTGGAGTGATGGGCCTGCTGGAAGCAGACCGGAGGCTCGAAGGGTGGGGAAAGGTGAGAGAACGGACATTGAACGTAAAAGTGCAGGCCAGCCCTAGCCGGGTAACCCTGTTGGTTAGAGCATCATCTCAATACGCCAAGGTTGCAGGTTTGATACCCAATCAAGGCACCTAAAAGAATCAACCAATGAATGCATAATTAGGTGGAACAAAAATAGATTGTTCTCTCTCTCTCTCTCTCTCTCCTCTCTCTCTCTCTCTCTGTCTCTCTCTCTCTCTGTCTCTGTCTCTCTCTCTCCCTTCTTTCTCTAAAATCAATAAATATCTAAAAATAAATAAATAAAATACAAGTTTAGCCCTAAGAGACAGGTTTTTTAGATGCTAATGGGAAGAATCCAGAAGGGAATATGGCTGCACAGACAGAAGTGCAGATGATTGACCACTTGGGATCCAGGGAGTGGGCTGAGGGAACAGAGGACATTGGCAGTAGAACCCAAAAAAAGAGGAGAGCACCTCAGCCACTGGATTGGGGTTGGAGTACAGACGTAGCGATGGGAGGTAGACTGGCCTCCATTATCTCTGTGGAGCAGGAGGCAGGAGAGAGAGAAGGTTGGGGGACTAGGAGAGGGTTGGTGTTTAAGACAGGGGAGTGGTCTTCCCACCCTTGAGGGGGATGCTGCAGAGGCCGAGGAGGGAAAGCAAGCGGCTGGCTGGGCAGGGACAAGTCAAGGCCAACTGAGCTGGTCTGAGTGCATGTCTGGCAGCCGGGTTCACCCGCCCGAAGCTGCTGCCGGCTTCCCCAACTCTGCTCCCAGCAGCGGAGGTGGGGGAGGGTACCTCCGGGCTGGAGGCTGCTGGGATTCCTCCAGGGCTGGGGGGCTGCCAGCCGGGTGGGACCATGAGATGGGCAGCCAAGAGAGCTGCGGATGTTGGCAGAAGAGCACTCGAATGATGGACCAGGGAACCTCAGCTGGGGAGGGAGGAAAAATGAAGAAAGAGGGGCGGCAGGGGAGGAAGCAGGGCCTCGTGTCCTGCTGAGTCCGGAACCCGCGTCCCACAAGGGACTGAGAGTGGGCTGGAGGGCCTGAAGGCTGTGGGTAGAGAGGGGGTGCCTGACTCAGCGATTTCAAGGGCGGAGCAGTTCCAGGGGGGTGACATGGCCTTGGGCAGCCATCGGTGGGGGCGGCTGAAGCGGAGAGCAGAGGAGCAGAGAGAAGACAAGGTCATGTTCTGAGCAGCCACAGGTTCAGACAGGCTGATACGTGGCTGCTGAACTCTTCCCGAGTGAGGGAAAGAGTAAGGGGATGGGGAGACCGTAAGCCACAATCACCCGTGAATGGAAGGGGCGGGAAGTGACAGCCTGCCACAGAATAGCGCTTGGCTGCTCTAAGCATACTTGGTGCTTACAGCCAACCTCCAGCAAAGAGCTGGCGGCTGTGTGGCCTCAGTCACGCTCAGAGCTCTCTCCAGTTTCATGGCCTGGCAGGCAGAGACCAAGACTCTAACGGCACCAAGACAGGCTGGGGGCCGAGCTACATAGGCAGGTTGCCAAGCGGGATGCAGGACATCTGCCCTCTGACCACTGGCATGGGGTTGGGTCAGGCCTCCTCTGGCCAGCCCAGCAAGAAAGACCAGAACATTCATCAGGAAACTGGAGGAACCTTGTGCAAATACGATGAAGGCCAGGCTCTGGCAATAAACACACAGTTTCCTTGTATGTCCTCAGCTCTGGCCTTGAGGCAAGGGATACACAGACCCAGGCTAGGGTTGATTGACAGATGGGATTCTGTGCAACGATTCCCCAATGCTACAGCCCAAGACACACCTCACCTCTGAACTCCTGCCCCAGGATGACCATGTCAGTTGTACCTTTTTTTTCAGTTGTACCTTGACCGGGGCTAGGGCAGTGATTATGGGCCAAGTCAGGATAACTGAGGGCCCCTGGGCACCAGCTGGGCAAACACTATTTTTTTTTTCCATAAGTAGAAAGAATACACTCTAAAGGCCCTGGCCGGGTGGCTCAGTTAGTTAGAGCGTCATCCCAATACACTAAAGCTGTGGGCCCAATCTCCAGGCAGAGCACATAAAGAAGTAACCAATGAATGCCTACATAACAACAACTTGATCTTTTATTCCTCTGGAGAGAGAGCCTGTTTCCCAGCCTGGGCAGGTTTCCTGAGCCTTTTGGGTGTCCCTGCCTGTGGCCCCCACCGGAGGTTGGTGCTCTGATAGCTGCTGACACCACTTTACCTAGTGGATCGTAAGTGGCTGCTCCTTGGGGTGCGGGGGGGGGGGGGGGGGGGCGGGGATTAAGCCAAGCAGAAGGAGTCTAGCCCTGTCCCTGCAAGGACAGCAGGGCAGGTATGTCAGGTCTCAAGGAAGAGGGTGAGGACCGCCATCAGAGAATGGTCAAAGCAAGGTGGTACCTGGGAGAGTGCCTGGAAACCTTCCTTCCACCAACGCAGGACACACTCCTATAAAACAGCTCTGACCATGCCTCTGCTCACCCCGTGGACAAACAGAGGCCATCTGTTTGTCCACCAGGCCCCGGCTCATGGTTCCTGGGCCGTCACTGCATAGGGGCCCCTTTACCTCCCTGTTTCCAGAAGTACACCCCGCGAGCACAGGCTGCCTTGTCCAAGTGCCCTCTCTCCCCTAGCCTGCAGGTCACAAAGCCTTCCCTCTCCCAGGATTGCCAGGAGGTTAGTAGAGGCAGGGCTACACCCAAGCGTTAGACAATGGGGAAGCTGGGCAGTCAAGGGTCGTAAGCATGGGGACCTGGCCAGAACTGGGAAAGGCAACGAGGTGTTCAGCCTCTACTCCCAAGCCCACCATCCCTTCTCCCTGAAGCCCAGAGCCATGGTCAGAAAGCCTGAATGGTCCATCCCATGAACCTGGCTCTTCAGAGCTCTGCCCGTCCCTGACCTCTGATCCCTGACCCTGAACCCAGAGAGTGTTCATTGTGGGTGCTGTGAGTGAGGAAAGGGTTCCCCAGAGAGTGTTCATTGTGGGTGCTGTGAGTGAGGAAAGGGTTCCCCACCCCAATCTCTGTCACACCAGTGATGCAGGGAAAGGGGCTTCATCCAGCACTACAACATGGGTACGTGCCTGCCCACCAGTATCCTAACCGGAAGTGAAGTGGCTGGTGACCCTACTCTATGGGTGGTGGCCTGGAGGTCCCGTGTTATTGTATGACCAGACCAGCCATTTAGCCCAGGAGGACTCTACAGGCAGCTGACCTAAGCCATGCTGGGCCAGGTCCATCAGATGCAGCCGTCCTGCCCAGCTGGGGAGAAGGCGAGGCGCTACAAGGCACACACTCACGTAATGAAATCCAGGAAGCTGGCGAGTGGCTCATAGGCGTGGTTCCTCATGTGGCGGAACTCCACCACCATCTTCTCCTTGAGCCGGTCATCGATGACTGACACTGTCAGCGGTGATGCCTCGTTGGCCAGGAAGTTGCCGTAGTCAGTGCTCTGTAGGTGCAGCTTCAGGTCTGAAACCCAAGGACGGGGTGTGAGCGCTGGCCATGCTGAGTCTCCTCATCCCGGCCCCATCCCCGGCCCTAGCCTCCCCACTGGAGTTGAGTCCTGCTGCTACCCTCACTTCCTGTCTCCACCTCCACCGCCACCTTCCTGTTGGCTCAGGGCCTACTCCAGAGCAGCCAGCCAAGGCCCTGAAGATGCCTCAGACCCTTGGGCCATGAGCCAGTATACTGTCCAAGCACAGTACAGTCTAAGCACAAGCAGAACCATTGTTCCTCCAAATGACAAGGCCGGAAACTCCGACCTAAGGTGCCATTCACAAGCCTGTGAGGCCCTTCTACTTGGCGGGCTCTGGGATGACCCTGACCAGGAGCAGAATAAGACACAGGCCCTGCCTTCCACAGCTTCCGGGCTAGTAGAGCAATCCAGCACACCCCCAGGCAGAAATAACACAGATGAAATAAAGGACGTGCTGTAGTGGAGAAGGGAGGATGAATGGAGAAGGCACCAAGATAGGATTGAAAAGGTGAGAGGGCATGCTAGGCTGGCCACAGCAGAGGGCAGGAACAGAAAAATACCAAGGTCAACAGCCAGCTGGATGGTATAAGTTAGTGGTCGCCAACCAGTGGTCCGCAGGCCACTGGTGGTCCGTGGGGTCCGAAAGGTTGGTGACCGCTGGTGTAAGTGACAAGTGGCCCAGAGAGCAAATATGTCAGGTGGAGAGGACGCTGGAGTGGCTGGAGCAGGCAAGCCAATCTTACAGGCTCTCCTGAGCTCTTCGGGATAGTGGTGGTAAAAGGGAGGAAAGGATCGAGGAAGGACGAGTGAGGCACCGGGGATCATGGCAACAACCCCACAGGCTCCCACTTTTGCCCCGTTTCCCACTGCCCAGTCTATTCTCACACACAGCCAAAGTGATCTTCTCAAAACACCCAACAGCCCTCGTCCATGCATCCATCCCTGTCCCTTGCCTGGAAAGTGAGGCTCGCTCCTCAGACACCCCCTCTTCAGAGGCCTCTGCTGCAGCCCGTCACCCTTCACTTGCACCACTCTTCTTTGTAACACACACCCCCTTGCACACAGGACATACAAGCTCCATGACAGCGGGGCCTTTCACTGTGGCATCCTAGAGTCTAAAGCAGGGCAGTTCTGGTGCATTTCGATGCTCAGTAAAGAACTGTTGAATGACTGTAAGACTGGGCAGAGGGTTGGTGAAGACAGCGTTGGTGAAGTGGCTGGTGAAAGCCTGAATGGTCCACTCCTGAAATATGAAATGGGAACACTGTGGCAGTGATGGCATACCAAGGACAGTGGCTGAGACGGGTCCATGTGTGCATATATGTGTGTATGAAGGCCCAACAGCCGGAGCTGCCTCTGCTGCAGGGACTGCATGCTTTCCTCCACTGGGGAGCTTACCCAGAGGACAGCAGGAAAGGTGAACATTCCCACCAGTCCCCCCTGACCAAGGCCTTCCTGTGTGTCTGAGAGCCTAGGAGGCCATGCTATCCTGGTTGCTTAAAGAAGGAAGAATAGGGCCGGAACCGGTGTGGCTCAGTGGATATAGCGTCGGTCTGCAGACTGAAAGGTCCCAGGTTCGATTCCGGTCAAGAGCATGTATCTTGGTTGCGGGCACATCCCCTGTAGAGGGTATGCAGGAGGCAGCTGGTCGATGTTTCTCTCTGATCGACGTTTCTAGCTCTCTATCCCTCTCTTCTCCTCTCTGTAAAAAATCAATATACTTAAAAAAAAAAAAAAAAAGAAGGAAGAATAAGGCTTAAGGGACCCCTCTGATGCCCCTCCTCCTGAGCCCCATCAGTGCTCCCAGCCTAGAGTCAGATGTGCTAAAGGAGAGATGGGAGAGCATGTGGGTGGCACCTGGGAGCAGGCAGCACTCAGGTCCTCTGCGGCTCCTGGGCGCACACAGAGTGAACTTTAAACCCAGGAGGTTGCAGGAGGCCTCCACCATCTGCTGCCTTCACCGTCACTCTACCATTCACACCTACTTTCTCCCATGGCCAGGCTACAGGAGAACAAAACTAAGGGCAAGGTACAGCGGGGAAAAGCCGAGTCTCCGGCTCTGCCACATGGGTCCTGCTGCCTTTCTGCCCAAAGGACTGTGCACACTTGTATGTTCTCCCCCCAGGCCGTCTGCCATGAGCCCCTGCCCGGGGCTCTGCTTCTCCCCATCCTCACCGCAGGCAAGCCACGGCCCACTTATGCCTAGAATAAGGCACAGGCAGAAGGACAAGTGACACCCAGTATTATTACTCAGAAATAATTCGGTTGTTGCATTATTTGATTATTCATTTGGCTGTTACAGAAAAATCCTTAACTGTAACTGATGATTGTTGATGTAATAGTGTCTCTCCTGTATGCCTACCTGTGATGGGCTTTATGTGCTAGATGTTGTTGGGCAAGGGCACGAGTTCTTTTAAAAAGAAACATGGTTTACTTGCACAAAACTGATCAGTTCTGAGAGATTGTTAGTGTCCTTGAAGTGGTTTTTGTAGGTGTGAAACGAATGGTGAGAATATGAATTGGTCCCTCTTATTCTAGTGCTGGAGGCCTGGTGCATGAATTCATGCACAGGCGGGGTCTGGCCAGCGAGGGGGCGGGGTGAAGAGGGAGGTAGGAGATTGGCCGAATGGCCTCACCCACCATGGGTGGCGGGGGGGGGGGGGGGGGGGAGGGGAGGGATTGGGAGTAGGGACGGCAGAGGAAGGGGCCCTGGAAGTTTGGGGAGGTGACTGGGGCCTCCATCAAGCCGGTTGGCTACTGCAGTATGCGTCATAGCAACTGGCCATTCTGGTTGTTCTGTTGTTCCGGTCACTTGACATGCATATATATATATATATATATATATATATATATATATATATAGAAAGAGAGAGAGAGAGAGAGAGAGAGAGAGAGAGAGAGATTAAGTCTACGAACTTATCAAGTCATGTTCATGCCCCGATTTTATATACTTTCATCTATAATAAGTATTGTGATACTTGAAAGAGAAGTGGGTGGGTGTTCTGGCCTGGGTACAGCAGATGCTCAAATCACCACTAGGGGAGGCTGTGGTGCAGAGAGCAGCTGGAAGCCTAGCCTGGCCCAAACCTGTCCACTTCTCTCCCCTTCGCTTACTCAACAACTCCCCCACCGCCAATTACCCTCTCCCCTCTCCAACCCCCACCGACTCCAACTCCTGGCCCTGGCCAGGTGGGAGTCAGCACCCCCAACATAGGGGGGCAGCAACACCCACTTTAATTGGAAACAGACGAGGCCCTGGCAAGTACCTGGCCCCCCCAGGCGTGCCCATTTCACAGACTCAGAAAACAGAAATCGGAGGGAATACGAAAACTGGCCAGAGACCAACAGTCAAACACAGAGGGGCTGAGATGTGGATCAGGCCTCATGGACTCTGTCCATCCCAACTCTGGTCTCCTCTCCTCCTTTTGCATCCTCAGCCACCTTCTCCCACAGCCCTTGGCTCAGGATGGGCCTTCCAAATATACACCCAGACAGACTTTGGTCCCACAAAAGCCGGCAGGTGGCAGAGCTTCCACCTGCGTTTCCGGATGATACCCATGACCTCAGGGGCAGCCTGGACACTCACGTCCACCTGACAGAGGCCTGGGCCCGTCATGACTCATTGGAGAGCCTCTCTGGCATCTCGTGTGGCATCAGCCATTCCTGGAGAAGCCAGGGACGTGTGCATTTAACCCGGAGGAGTGAAACCGAGGGGGGGGCTCTCCTGTGCACACCTCCGCACCCCTGGGCTTAGCACGGGCCTTAAAGCAAACTCCCCGCTGTGCCTTGGCTGCGACATTCTGCTGACGCTGCATCTGGGGAAGCCACGGCTCCCAGCACTGCTGGAAGGCAGACAGCCGGGTGGTTTCTGCTGGCATTTGTCAGATCAGAGCAAACCCGGGAGACTCTACCGAGAATCCTGCCCAAGGCCTGAGAGTCTTCCTTACCAGGAAACTCATTTTTAAAAGTCCCTAGGGACGCTCTCAAAGGGCCGTTCCAGACCACTTTCCCTGGCCAAGCCTCGTGTCTCCCTGTGACCCAAGGAGAGGGGACGGCCTGCCAGCCAGGAAGGCGACTTGGATCCCTCAGCTCGGCCCACACAGGGCTTCTGAACCAGCTCTGACCCTATTCGAGAAGCTGGCGGCTGGGCCGTGGCTGGCAGCCTCGAGCCCTTTACACAGGCCTCAGGGCTGGACAAGGCCCGTTAGAAACCTCCCCACCCCACCCCCACCCCCACCCTCAGCTTCCTGCTCCCTCGGAGGGATGTGAGGAGGCGGGGGGGGGGGGGGTGACTGGGGGGTGGGATCTGAGCGCAGGAGGAGAGGCCTGGAACTTGTTGAGAGCTTCGTGGGAGACCTGGCCACCCAGCCCTGGCCCAGCCCCCGAGGGCAGCCGAGGACGCCAGGGGCTCTGGGAAGGCAGGGGCTAGTTCTGCTCTGCGCCTTGAGCTCAGCAGCCCGACAGCCCCAGTGACGGCCCCAGAGGGCCCCAGACATGCCTGGGCTGAAGCTGAGCAGTGTTCTGGTTAGCACAGACTCGGGGTACCGCACTGGTCTGCCCACATGCCCAGCTGTCTACCCCAAATCCTCCCCTCCATGGCCCAGCACCAAGAATGTCTGGTCAGCTTGGAATCTCACGGTAAAAGGCTTTCTCAGAGGACGATTTCTCAGGTCCAAGAAGATGCTGCTGCTATCGGGAAGTTCACTCTGCATTCTGACCTGCATCCCTCCACAAAGGAAGCCAACCAACAGCTTCCCGCGCTGCCCGCCTCGCCTGAGGGCCGTGGGCCTGCTCCTCGGCGCTCCTCACCCTACCCAGCACCTTCCCGCACCTCTCCCACTGCCCAGTGTAGCCTGTCCTGACGTTCTAGTGATGTTCCCCCAACTCCATTTCCTGGCGCAACCCAGGCAACCTCACCACCACCACCACCACCAGGCCCTTTTGCTGGACTCCTGCCCACAAGTCCATTCTCTTCACCATTATAAGCGTGAAG